GACTGTGTCAAATGATGGAAGTTTCAGTATGTAACAAAACACACCAGGTCCCTGTCTTCATGATATCTACAGAATTAATAAAGCAGACATTAAGTAAAGAAATTCATTGGGAGGCTGAGGCAGGAAGATCGCATGTTCAAAGCCAGCTTCAGCAACTTAGCAAGGCCCTAAGCAACTTATGGAGACCCTGTCTCTAATTAAAATATTTTTTAAAAAAGGGCTGGGGATATGGCTCCGTGGTTATACTTCCTGGGATCAATCCCTGATATCAAAAACAAACAAACAAACAAAAAATCCCCAAACTTAAGTTTTAATTTTGCTATGTGATACCAGGAAAATATGCAGGGTACTTTAAGACAACACAACAATTTAGATAATGGAATTTGCAAGAAAAGAGATAATCAAGCTGGCATAGGTGTAGGCTGAGAACTTGATCTCCACCTGTCCTGTGTGGAGTCATTGGAGAGGAGGCCAGCTAAAGATGCATTAGAAATACAGGAGGACTCAGAAATAGCTTGTCTTATTTCATCAGCATAAGACAATATCAACTACATATTTTTTAAAATATTAATTTTTTAGTTTTTTTAGGTGGACACAATATCTTTATTTTACATTTATGTGGTTCTAAAGTTTGAACTGAGGGCCTCATGCATGCTACGTGAGCACTCTACCTGAGCGACAATCCCAGCCCCTCAACTACATTTTTATTTGGCATAAATATAAAATTTTTCAAATGTAATAATACCTGCTTGATTTTTAAGGATCAAAATATATAGTGTAGGCAATAGAGAAAATACAGAAGAAAAGAAGCAGTATCCCAATCACCTATAAACACTTTTCTTACCAGTCTTATGTTAAAAATGAAAATTATCTGTCTTCACTTTTTTTCTTGTATGTTTGCATGTATGTAAACACATATACACTTATACATCCATGTGTTTGTATAGGAATGTATACTTATATACATACACACCTATACATAAATAAAATATGTGTGTCTATATGTGTATCATATTACATAAAGGATTTATACTATTCATATTATCAGAAAACTTATGATAATTTTCCATTTAGCACACATAAAATTATTCTTGATACTTGAACAATATATAAATATAGATGAAAGGATAATCACATTTTAGTAATTCTACATTATTTCTAATGCATTTTATAGTTTTGCTTGTTTATGTTTAGCATGGAATTCATCCAAAAATTATCTTTGTACATTGTTTGCAGCAAGGTCACAATTTTGTTTTTCTCTCTTGAGTGATTGTCAGTATTCTCACATAGACATAGATGCTTCTTACAATCAATCTACTTTACTCCAGTGGTCTATTTATCCATGATTATGGCTGCCCAATTTTGTCTTATTAAGGTTGTATAGTGCTCTGATATCTTATAGGCAAGTGACCCCAAGAGTGGTATTAGGAGTATAGTTGCTGGAGCTAGGCCAAACTCCACCCCAAACACCAGACAGTAATCATTTACTTACCCGGCATGACATTGATGATCAGCATATTCTTACATCAGCATGAGACCGTCATCAGTGTATTTTAGTTGAGCATATGGTTAGAACTGACTGGGTGTTGACTGTTGGTGATACATGTACATAAAACCATGTAATCTTAAAGTGAAAAAGAAACTTGAATTTGAAATGTCATTTCTTTAAAATGATGTACTTTCTTACACATAATTGACTAGGATGCAATGGTGGCTTTAATAAAGTTACAATAAAGATGGTTTGTACAGTCTGATGACTATCCACTTCTGCTATGAAAAGGCTCATGTCTTTGGTATAAAATGCATATGTCTTGAGTTATGTTTTATGGTAGCAGCTCCGACTGTGGGCCTTTGGAGAAATAGAGGGGAACAGGAGGAAAATACACATTGGTGAATACTCTTAAGAGTAATGGTATATGTTATCTCCCAAAGTTGCCAGCCACAGAAGATGAAGGACAGAAAGTACTGTCCATTCTGTCTTGATCACTTGGAGAAATTACATTTGGCTGTGAGAACATTCTAAATCTGTCAGTTGGAAAAATGCCATGAGCAAAAACCTCTTGAATAAGTTAAAAGGAAACATTGGCAAATATTAATATTGTATTTCTGGAAAAAACATTATCAGACAAAACATGATGAGACTGGAGGCCTAGATGCTGATTCATCCAGTCAAGTAATTGTGTAGCAAAACAACCCTGAGGGATGGTATGAGCTGGTAAGGGAGACATTGATGGTACCAAATAAATGAAAGGCCACATCATTTTAGGGCAATTTAAATGGAAAAATTTCAAGAGAAGGATTTTTTTTTTTTTTTTGTACTGGGGATTGAACTCAGGAGCACTCCACCACTAAGCCACATGCCCAGACTTATTTTGTATTTTATTTAGACACAGTGTCTCAAGGCTTACTGCCTTGCTTTTGCTGAGGCTGACTTTGAACTAGCAATCCTCCTGTCTTAGCCTCCTGAGCCACTGGGATTACAGGCATGCGCAACCATGCCCAGCTGAAGAGAAGGATTTTTAAGTGTCAAATATCGACATCTCAGAGTGATATGACTGGTTCAGCCATAAGACATTTAACAAGAAAAAATATGATTTAACCTAGAAATAGTAGGTTACCCATCATAACAACACTATTCAACTTATTGAACACTGATTACTGATCACTACTATAAAGAATCATCTTTCTAGTAATCGGAACCTTTTTAATTTGCACTATCAGAGAAAGCCTTATTGGACAATTAAAGGAAGAAGCTGGGTACAATGCTGCATGTGTGTAATTCCAGCGCCTGGGGAGGCTGAGGCAGGAGAATCACAAGTTCAAGGCCAACCTCAGCCATTTAGTGAGATACTATCTCAAAATAAAAAGTAAAAAAGTTGGGTGTCTAGCTCAGTGGTAAAGCACCCGTGTGTTCAATCCCTGGTGCCAAAAAAATTAAAATTAAAAAATAAAGGAAGGAAACAGAGTCAGATAAGAGCCCAAGGTGACAATTCTCTCCTTCCCTCCCTCCCTTCCTCCTTTTTTGTTGTCTGTCTGTCTGTTTCTCTGTCTCACATACACATGCACACACACTCCTCAGGAGTCCATTCAGGAATTAATGCCAATTGTGCCAGTGTTATCCAACCTAAGTAACCAATGCCTCGGTTACTCTTCCTCTCTCTTTTCCTTCATTCACACACATAGTCCACGAAAACCTTCCCTGGTCAAGTTTTCACCATCAGTTTCTCCCCTGCGTTCCTGCTGTACCCATCCTTGTCTAGACCTTTTAATGATCTCAAGAATGGACTAATTAGTTTCCCTCTGTCTTTTTCCTTCTGATCCATGAACAACTTCATAGATTTCTCTTCTTAAATTGAAATCAGCACCCCAGCTTCAAACATCTGGAATGACCTTTTTTTTTTTTTTTGGTAACATAAAGACCGAATTCCTCATCCTGTCCTTCTGTGATCTGTTGGCAAAGCTGCTGCTCAGCTCATGTCAACCACTACTGCGCTACAGACCATTAGTGAAGCACCCCACTCTGCCCACTATTCCCCATACTTTGAGATGTCCACTCTTTCCTTTGTGTATTTATGGATTTCATTTCCCTTATTTGCTTTTTAAAAAATTTGAGCCCTTTCCTTTGAGGTCCAGTTCATATTCTACCTCTTTTTTATTATGTTTCTTAAACTTTCAAAATGTCATTGGAGACCCATTTAAATAACTGCATGTTGAGTTATATCGCTGGACACTTCTAATTCTTGAGAGTTTTGAAATATTAAGAAGGGCTGGAATCAGGAAGCTGGCCTATAAAGCTGCAAGTGGTTTTCTATCTCTGAGGTAGACACTCCAATTCAATTCAGTGGAAGATTGTTTTGAGATGTGGCCATCAATGGTTTTAATCAAATATTTCTAGCTCTTGGCCTTCTAATCATAACCAAGTGGAAGGGCACTTCTCTTCTCTCTTGGAGTTGGGTATGGCCACATGACTTGCTTTGGCAGTGAGTTGCGAATTTAAGTGACATGACACTTCTGTTTTTAGCTATCTTTGATTTTTTTAAGCCACTAAAATTCGGAGATGATGATGATGATGATGATGATGATTTTGCATAACCAAACCCATCCTGAATGATCTGTTTTATTTAAGAAAATTTCCAAAACTCACAAATTTCTCAAATATGGAAGGTGGCCATTCGTTATTTGGGGGCAATGAAAACATTATTTACTTAAATGATAGAGGGTGAGCTGATGAGCAAGTTTCTTGAGCATTTATAGCAGAAGATCAAGAGTGGAGAACCTCAGGGCCAGTTTTGAAGAGTCATTCCAGGACTTTGAAGATCAACTAAAACAGATGTGGCAAGTTCTTGGGAAGAGGACGCCCCACCCCCACCCCGCCATCTCCACAGCAACTGGAACTGCTGTGATACATGGAGGGAGGAATTTTTGCAGCATCGAAAGCACTGTCTCCTGAAGAGTAGCAGCAGCAGGCTGACAATGCACCCTAGCAGACAAGTTATAAAGCAGTGACATTAGCCGAGGGAGCTGCAGCCACAGAGAAAAATCAAGACAGTGAGAAGTGAGTTTAGCAAATGCTCTCCTGTGAGTAAAACTGAAGTAATTCCCTAAGGATGCCCAGGAATAATTTAAGGATACTGTGTCATTGGAAGTTTGAGCCAAATGTCATTTAGACCATAAAGGAAAATTGTCCTCATTTATTACTAGATAAACCATGTTTGTTCTATGAACACAATTATGATTTATCAAGTTTATTTATCATTCTTATTAGTTTATAATTATTGTTTTTAACTTTGAACAAAAATCTTGACTTCACAAAAACATTTATTAGTTCTTTGGAGGCCAGGATAATATTTTTAGCATACAATGGACATTTAGAAGATGATTTAATATTGATAAAAAAGTTGTAACAGAAGGTTAGTTTGAGGCCAAAAAAAAGCATTCTAATTTTATTTTAAGTAGAAATGTTTTATTTTAGGATAAAAATGTGTCTCTAGTAAATTAAGTTTTGAATTTCAATAATAGAAACTTAAAAATAATTTTGCCCACCAGTTTCAAAACATGTTTGGAAGAACAATCTCAGAGGCCCTATGTTCTTCCCTGGAAGCAACTCTACTTCTACTTGCTCTCTGCGGTGGTTTCTGTGGTAGACAAATTCACTTGAAGAATGGAGTCCACTGTCAATGCAAAACTGACCTAGCCTTATGAATAGATTGACACAGTTTAACTACCTTATGTTATTAAGGCTTAAATGGGTCAAGAAATGTTAAAAGGATTACCTAAGAACACATATCCGGTGAGTATAGGAGCCAGAGAATCAGATCTGACAGCCACTCTCGTGTTACCAAACACAGTTGTTCTGTTGATATTTATTCTTTATTTTTAGCATGTGTTACTCATTCATTCTGCAGTCCCATGAGTATCCCACTTTGTTTTTGCTTTCGTTGGAAACTTTAAAAAAAGTCTTTCAGAGAGGGTGAAGTACAGTACTGAGGAAGAAAGTACCATGATGTGGCTGGAAAAATCCCTATCTACTTTTAGAATCCTGTATTAGATTCAGAAATAATCCCCTTTCCCTTCACATGATATATTAATCCCGTTCCTAGAACTTCTGCTGGGTGGACATTCTTCCCATATTGGATGACTGGGAAAACCAGTCTCCCATATTTGAACAATTCACACTGTTCTCTGGCTTGGCCTCTTATTGAGCTTAATTAATGTCAATGTAACTAACATCTTAGCCATTCTTCTGGGGACACAAACACAGAACACCTGGGGGTATACTTATGTTTAGCTTGACCTTGATAAAATTTCTTAAAATTTTTATATTAGTTACTATAATTTGCAAATTAAATAAGTGCCTAATAGAAGCTTTCTCTTTTATGTAACAAATAAGGGCTCCAGTTTTCCACAATCCCTACCATTCCATATTGCCACCCTCTAGGCCTGTCTCCCTCATTTAATGACAACCTTTCTGAATATAAAGCATTCAACACAGGCTTCCTGTGTTAAGCCATCACATTTTTATGTTTGGCATTTAAACTCCATTGATGTAGGCAAATATGCAGATATGCAATTTCTTCAATGAGTGCAAAGTACCTGCAGAGAAGTAACGGTTAACTTCTTCAAATTCCAACCTCGTGGTTCACTAGGAACAAAAGCAAGAAAATGGATCTCAGTAAACAGAAGAAGAGAGAAAGTGTGTGAATTGAGAGGTTCTGTATGGATAAAGGAATTGACCGTTATTTAAATATGGAGGAAGCAACCCCAAATGGGTTTTCTTTTGGTCGTGGGAAGGCAAGGATTTGCCTTAGCTGAGAGGTGGAGTCACACTCAGTAACTTCAATGGTAAGTAAAGGACAGGTGCTGCGTGAGCTCAGGGAGGACTGTCCGCTTTTGAGTCATGCCCAGACAGGGAGATGTGCCCTGTCAGCAGCAGCAGCAGCAGCACCTCCAAATGCAGATGGGCACTGCCTCTGTCAAGCCAGCTCTCACCTTATGGCAGCTCTCTGGGATGGCAGTCTGGAAACACCATATGGAATATAGCCTTTTGCACATAATCCCATGAAAACTGTTTTACAGTAACACATTATGAATATTTCATTTTTCTTCACAAATCCACTTGCAAAGTGTGGAATGTTCCTTTTTCTTTTTTCATTTTTTTTCTTCGTCTCTTTTCTTGGTCCTTGGTTTAAATGATTTTCATTCAGTTAAGTAAATGCTTACTGATGACATTTAGGATGTTACAAGAGAATTTAAAATTATCTATTTTCGTGGTAATGGTTAGGACTGTGCTGACCCTTGTTATGGTGTATATCAAACAGCAAGTTGAATAAATAGACATTTATCCCAAAGTCAATTGGCTTAATTGTTTTTCTTTTTCTTTTTTCTTTTCTTTCCTTTTTTTTTTTTTGCCAGAATTGAGTGGATTTTTAAAAGCAGAGTTGGCTAAATTAATTTGGTGATCTCTATGATCTAGCTTAAAGGGATAATCTTAAAAGCGCCTTTCCTACTCTATGATTTAATTTTTAAAATATTAACCATCCGTCATTTAAGTTTGCATATTGTTTGGAAATGCAGCTTTGTGGCTTTTGCTTTGTCTCTTGGTATTAGAAGAATCGTTTATCCTCCTAGAGTGAGTGATAGCAGCTGGTTGACAGGACCGAGCGACTCTACAGACTGTGCCGAAAGGGAGGGAAATACCATATCTAATTAAAGCAGCAGGGAACGTTTTTTAGCAAGGCAAATTGTAATCCTTTATCTGGAAACTGGCCAGGGCATTAAGGTTAACAACATGGTTTGTATGAAATAATAAGAAAAAATATCTACCCACCACGTCTTTATGGATCACCAGTGACTGGAATGTCCAGGTTCACATCTCAGTTAAAAGCTTTCTCACATACCGAATCCCTTAACACCTGCTCAAAACATGGCAAAAACTTATCAGCCATGGGAAGACAGTGGTAGCTTGAAATATGTTCATTTAGCTTGGAGATTTTATCAAGACTTCTAACTATAATTACAGAAATAAAAACTCAATTGCATATTCAAAGTAATATGGCATAAGACAATTAAGAAAAAACTTTTAATGGACTCTTTCTTACTGGGGTAGAGGCCCCAGGCTTCAGATCCGACTTCACCACTTTCTGTCTGTGTGCTAGCCAGGGAAACACTTGATCTTCCTTAGGCTCAGTTTCCCTATCTGGAAAATGAAAGCAATAACATTCATCTGTTACTTTTTCCAAATAACAATGAGGATCCAATGAAATGTTATGGAGTATCTGAAAGCACATGAAAAGCTGAAGTAAACTCACTAGTGCAAACCACTTTTGTCATGTTATTTTAGGCAATAACATTTCTGTAATAACATGGGAAAAACATGGGAATGGCTCACCTGTGAGCAGATAGGTAAATTTCTCAAGAGTAGACTTGATCAATCAACCACAGATTTTCATTATACTTGATCAAAATGTGCTTTGGACAAGGCCCTGGGGTTATTTATTAGTTATATATTGAATTGAATCAGTTTCAATCAAGGAGAGCATCCTATGGGCCTACCGAGTAGCTGAGAACTCAACAGGTTGAGATTGCTGTTTATGGGACAGGCCACATAGAATCACAGGAGATGATTTAGGATGGGGAAGTCAAAACTCTCAAGCCTTGGAAGAGTGTTTCAAGCTATAACCAGAGTTGATGGAGCAAGTTCAAGTTATAGCCTCTGAAAATCAGGCAAATTCCATTAACAGAATACCTATTTTTATTTCTATGTTTAGAAATGTCTAATATGTTGCCATTCCAAGTTGCATCATAGTTGGCACAGGCTGCATTCCTGGTTACTGTCCAGTTTCTAAGGACGTAAAAACAAACTACGGGGCAGTTCTTGAAATAAAATGAAAAAACAAAAAGGTTCAGAAGTAAAATATAAAATAAGAGCATGATCTGTATCTGTATCTATATTTGCCCTATAACCATCTGTAATAGAACAGCCAACAACATGTAAAAATTTTTATTTACTTTCTAGCTTTTGCATTTTTAAAAGTTGTTGAATAGTGATTAAAAGTTTTCCCCATGACACTTCTTTACCTTAATTCAAATTTCTTTTATAACTGCAAAGATTTTGATCTGAACACATATTTGTCATCTATAAAGTAAGTAGAAATACACTGCTTGATTTCTATTTTTATTTTTTAGTGGCTATTATTATTATTATTTTGTAAAATTAGTGTGTTGTCTTTAGACATAATAAAATAACTCAAGCATAAGATATTGAGCAGTTTGTTTTGGGTGGTTTATGAAGAAGACCTATTTTTCTGTAGTGACTTGCAGACTCACGGATTATTGAAAAAAACATCATTGCCCAGAGGTCCTCCTGGGAAGGACATGGGCTGGGGTACCTGTCTGGTTCAGGATGAGTGTGACTGTTTCCCTCCATTCCCATGCCTTGCTCTCCAACTAAAGTCCACCACATTGCTGATTCCCACTCTGAATTGCCCCTTATGAGAACACCTGAAAAACTTCAACCTTTACTCTAAGACAAAATAGGGAACTTTACAATGTGATCATTTTTAGGATCAGTGTCATTGTTTCACTGTCTCTCACAAACCCCAGGCCAGAAGGCTCATCTGGTATCAGTGTCATTCATGTGCAAAGTAGAAACTGAACCGAACACATTATCTTTGAGCTGAAATTGGTCTCTCAGACAGTACCAGCCTCTTTAAGGAGGGGTGGCATACACTTGAAGGTTGGTTATTAGTTCCAAATGCTGCAGAAGCATCTGCTCTCGAGTAGCTAGAAATCATGTTTAATAACAAGAAAATCTACTCCAGCCAAATCCCTGTTGGGAGGGCTCTCGCATGAACAAAAGGCCCCCACTTCCCCTGATTTCCATAACAGATGTAGTATCTGATGCATGACAGCTCAGTGCAGCCCTGCGCCATTATTCTCCTACATATCCATCTGCAAGAAACGGCGCTTTCATTTTATTAATTGCTCTGGTGGGCTACATGTTATGTTTTGTTGCCGGGAGAATACTCTGTTTGTGCTTCATGCTACACTGGTCACAATAATAGTTATTTTTCTTAATGTTAAAGGTTACTAGCCTTCTTCCTTTACTTGCCTTTGCATCTTCCATACACAATAAACTATTAATGCCTCCCTGGGGGGTTGACAATTTCACTTAAGTTGGTCTGGGTTCTCTCAACCCTGGTACTGTGTCTTTGTCTTCTTATTCAGCATTCTTGGGACAAACCAGTTATGGGGGGAAGTCATTAATAAGCTCCCAAGTGCTAGATGTAGTTCCTAATGCTTAACAAAAAAAAAAAAAAAAAGAACAGAGCAAGAATTTTGACATTCGTAAGTCAGTAGCTGTTTTAAAATCACATATACGCCCAACTGCAGACAAGAATGTTTGGAAAGATGAATGCTCTTGATTTGTAATTATTCCCAAGCCAATTTTCTCCTATTGGTAGAGTTTTAGGTAAATGGAGAGGTTTGCTTCCTGAGGACACCATCGGTGGTTGTAACTGAGGCTTGCTATCATCTCATGCCACTTCATCACAGGATGTCATAGAAGCTGCTGTACTTGAGAGCAAATGGGCACAGAGAGGCAGGGAGGGGGAACTGACACAGTGCTTGAAGGGAACAAGAAAGAAGAGAAGTCAGAGTGTGGTAATAAGAGAAGTCAAAATACGGAATAAAGTAATAATACATAATCTCCACATTTCCTTTAAGTTTAGTGATTGTTTTTAAGAAAGTAGGCTATACACAGAAATTTCATTCTTGAAGGAATCTGTTTAGAATTTAAAACATCATAACTGGAAAGAAAGAAATTGGATTTGGCACAGAATTCAAAACAGTCTGAGTACATGTTTGTTCAGAGTGTTAAAAAAAAGATATAGTTACAGCTACAGCTGAGGAAGGGCAAAGCCACAGCAACACACACACACACACAAATTTGCCAAGGTCATGAACATTTAAATATAATTTGCATGTTTGTGTTAGCCAGCCATGTAGAATTTAGACATGAACAGCAGAATAAACGAGCTATCTCTATTACCAAATCTCCTGAACAGAGTGTCAAAACATTCGAGCAAAACTGAAATGTTCCAAATGGTATTTTATAGCAAAAATGAAAGTTTTTTAAAATATATAGAAAAAAATGCATGCTTATATTAATCTATTCTTTTTATGGTTTTTAATGTTCTGGAAAGTGAGTATTTTAAAAAAGGAAACAAAACAAAACAAAACAAAAACAGCAGAAGCAGCCATAACACATTTCCTCATGAGTACCATGTCACTGGAAATCTTTCAAGATTTTTCTTTCTCTTTGGACCTGACACAAGTCTTTACTTTTAAGCCCATGGATAAATCTTTTTTAAAAGTACAATTATGATAATAATCATTCCATTGCTTATATTACAGTCTAATGCTTTTATATTAGACATTTTTACATGTGGTGATGTTTTGAAAATCCTGGCTTGAAACAAGTCCATACAAATAAATCAGTAAAATACTGTGCTATGCAGCGACTATATACTGTTGTTACTTTACTTCTTGGGTACCCTTGGAAGATTGCCCCCAAAATACAAACACCAGGAGAGAACATGTTTACTATATTTTGCCAAATAGTATTTAATGGAAAAAGACCAATAAATTAATTTTTTAAAGTAGATTTTGTTATTTTATAAGATAACATCAAGTGGAGGCAAGAAATGATTAATTGTACCAGAGAAGGTTGCTAGTGTTCTGATTTGTCCCTGACTTCACCCCAGTACATTTCTCAACTGGGCCTCTTAATGAGGAGATGCAATTTACTCCTCAGCCCTTGTCACTATGGCTGGTGTCGAAGCTGGCAGCCAGGGGTACTCATCAAAATAGCCCTTTGTGGGATTTTGCTTCAAGTCTAGAAGGATTGGGTGGGGCTTTATGATCACTTGAGCTTCCCAGCCCAAATTTACCTGCCCCACACAGAGGCTATTCCTCAGTGAGCATTCTAGACCTGAAAGAGACTGTAGAGAGACTCCGATTCAATCCCTGCATTTCACAGATGTGGAAAAGGAGTGTCAACACATTCATTAAATAAATTGCTTCAGTACAATTGGAGTCTGGGATTCTGTTTCTGACTTAGAGAAAAAAAAAAGCTCATGAGTATCCAATTTAAAAACAATAAAAATGCTACTGTCTATACATATATCTGTGTGTTTATACATATGCATATGTACAGACTTTTTAAAAACATTCAACACACTCACATGCAACCTGTTTAATATTCTTGTCACTCCAAACTCAAAGAGCCTTGGTAGTAGGCATCATTATCACAGTGGGCCATGATGAAGATAAAGGAAATATTCTGGGTCAATTAGCAGAAATTCAAGCAAAATAGAAGGGTGACAAAGAGGTGGGGAACAGTCTATTTAAACATACCAGGGAAACACTTACCGACTCCCCACTGTGTGCCAGGCACCAGGCTCTGAAGATGAAAGGCACAATTCCTATTCTTCGGGAGCTAGTGGTTCTCACTGGGGAGAGACATGCATAAGGTAATACCCAGAGCATATTTATACAGGAGGTTTTCAGAGGAGAGGAAGTGGAAACATGCAAAACCACATCAGGTTTGACAGAGGAGGGTCATTTCTTGCTGGGTACTGAAGCAAGAGTTCAAGTTTGAGTTCATTAGTTAGATCAGGGTAAGTACATTCATCATCCAGGACCTGGAGCATGGAAGTAAATGAAGGGGCAGACAGGTCATGGGGGGTCTCATGGAGGGTTCTCACAGGCATGTTTCAGCAATGTCCCTTCACTCCTTTTTGCTCTGTTCTCCAAAATTATTTTTCATCATGAACAACAGATGGTTCCCAAGAAAGGCTTGGTCCCAACCATGCATGCTAGAGGAATCAAAGTGAGAAAATAGCAATAAGATAGGCTTAGTAAGAGGAAATAAAAGAACTGAAGCAAGGTGATATATTAAAAAAGGAGGTAGGTTGTTTTTAAAAACAACAACAAAAAATCCCTTTTCTTCAGCAATGGTAGAGGTGTACCCTAAGATGAAAGGTGACCCATAATGGCAATAATATTTCATTAAGCTTGGCATATTTTACACTCATTTATCTTCTTTCCTCCTTCTCTTCCTCTAACAGAAGCCCAGTGTCTGAAGTTGTGGCTAATGGTGATCTAAAAAGACCTGAATAACAAATAGTTAGCTCTGGGCCTGGTGGCAATCAATGCTTTGCTCCAAGAGAGAGAAGAGGTAGGTGAACTGAAAAGCAAGAGCCTGCTGGAAGGCTGAAGAAAGAGAATGAGTTGGCAAAATTCAAATGCACAGGGGGCACTTCTCTCCCTCTCTTTCCGAACACAAGGTCCTACTTACCCACCCATCATCTACCCTCACCATTAGAAACCCCTGGTCTGCATCATTTCCTGCCACCTTTTAAAGGCGGCATAGACTAGTTCACCTCCTCTGTCCAATTTCCCCAAATGCACAAAGGTCTTTGGGATGGAAATAAAAACAGCATTTCATTAAGCGGGGATAAGGCAATTCCAATGGAGTCAGAGGACGGAAACTGGGGCAGGCCCTACATAAATTAATCCTGTGAAAGGAGGAAATTTCCCTATTCCACTGTTAAGCAGCATTTGGATCTGGATAGAAAATGCAGGCCTTTCAAGCCTACCAGCAGTGTTTCTTCTCTACCCCATTGTCTTCCTACCAGAGAAAGAGGCAAGAAAAACCTGAGGAGGCCATTTTGGGGTGCCTAGAGGTGGGGTGTAGTTGAAAAGGAGTCGTAAAAGGGCTTAAGTCTATTCATTTCGCCCTTTTCATTTCCCTCTAAATGGAAGCGCGACTTTCATGCCAGTGCTCAGGCCCGGGTTGCTGGCAGAGCGACTGGGCCCTGCGAGGCAGCTGAAGCCTTTCATAGTGACAGCTTTTCTCCCAATGTGTCCTGGTAGGAGTTTGAGTTGACAGACAACAAAAGATGGGGAGGGGAGGGATTCCGATACAAGCCCAACAACCACTCTACACGCCTCTCCTCAGCAGTGCCTCAGCTGATGGACAAAGAACAAGCCTGGGGTGGGTGGGAGTCTGTTCCAGGCCCTCCTGCTTCAGGTTACCTCTGTTGCGCACAGACAGGCACAGAGGGCTCAAGGAGAGGCAGCTCAGCATTATCCCCCTGTGGGTCTGCAGTGTGGGGACCTGTGAAAGGAAAAAACCCTCTACATATAGGTCTGGGATTTGAAAGAAAGTTTCTGTAGGAACATGTTAGAACACTGTAGGGTGAAACTAGCTTTGGACAAGAGGTATTAAGGCTGCCTTTTCACATTGCCCACAAAGAACCTGGCACCTAGTGGGTACTTCCAAAGAGCCATGTTTAAATCAAATGATATAAAGAGAAACAGGTGTCAGTATTTGGGGAATTACCGGGTGTTTGGAACCAACAAACCTCACATTTCACCTTTATGGAACCCCTGTATTATTTAGCCACCAAAGGTGTCTCTTCTTTGCTCTGCTATAGGCCAGCATCGGTTTATATGAGATCTCAGAGAAAGGACCAGAACATTCTCCTCCACTGAATGTTAGGAAGTCCCCTCTTCCTGAACAAAACTGGGGAGTATATTGCCATTTCCAAAGTAAAGGGGATAAGAAATCATTTTCATTTGAGCTTCTGTCACATGCCTGGAAATACCCAGAGATTTTTTGAGTGTCCTGTCAGGATCAGGTAATTAGTGGTACCAAACAAGAACTCTCACAATAGATTTTAACCTTATTATTTTTTTTTAAGAGAGAGAGAGAGAGAGAATTTTTTTAATATTTGTTTTTCAGTTTTCGGTGGACACAACATCTTTATTTTATTTTTATATGGTGCTGAGGATCGAACCCAGTGCCCCACACACATTCCAGGTGAGCGAGTTTGAGCCACATCCCCAGCCCTTAACCTTATTTTTGATGAATACATCTTTGATGAACCTTCCATGCACGAGTGCAGTCATTAAGCAGAGCCTGTGAAAATGATCAGGAAGTGACCCTGACAAAGCCACCAAAGGTGTCTCTTCTGTGCTCTGCTATGGGTCAGCATCTGTTTATATGGGATCTCAGAGAAAGGACCAGAACATTCTCCTCCACTGAATGTTATATTAGGAACACGAATCTCAGTATGGGTAGGAAATAGGTTTCCAGAGAAATATAAAGGCTCACAGACAGATAAACAAACAAGTTGTCATGAAAGAAAGGAACTGTGCAAAACCCGAGCAGTTGAGATATGGTACCCCAAACAGGGAACCGGACATGCTGGTGTCACAAGCTGCCTGATAACTATTCCGGGCCATTCCTTTGTGAAATCCCTCCATGGGAGGAATAAATGATGTATGAAATTAAGACGCCCTGACTCCACAGGGAGCACAGAGACAGCACTCCCAGCTGTAATGTGTCTTTCCTGATGGGTTTTGGCGGTGACCCCTGGGCACAGCTTCTATACAGCTGTGTGGCACCCAGCAGCCTCCCAAATCCTGAACACCAGAGCCCACACACTCTTCTCCTGCCAGAAAAACACTCTCACCCAAGTTTAGTTGTAAATTTCCTTCATCACAGACATTTCTCCACCTCGACACCCCAACAGCCAGCTATAGTGGTGACACCTTGTAATTACAGTTATCAGGCAAGATATATTGCAAAATCTGGTGATAAATCACTTGAATTCTGTGAAATTATTGTTACCAGTGTATCCAAAACTTTTGAGAGAGAGAGGGCTGCAGGTGTGCAGACCCTCGAGGGTCTCCAAACATTATTTTTTAACATGACTCCAACTTCTATAATCCAGGTGGAATTGTGATTCTCTGCTAGGAAATTTATTTCTCTCCCAATGGCAGAAAAACCAGAATAGGAAGCATAACATTGTAATCAGCTAAATGTGGACTATCACCATGGTGGATTATTGTGAGAAATTATTAGTTTGAGGAAGCTCTACCCATTCATTACCAAGCATGCTTGTAGAACATCTCTCCCTACAGGCCCTTGGTATGTGTTAAAACAATTAAGAATAATATTGGTTTAATTAATGAAATGCTAATTTAAAAGGCAACACTTTAAAACAAAACAAACAAATAAAAATAAATGGGCAATATATTTCAAATGCAAGTTACACTTGGAAGTTTCACTTGGGGGATTTTTTACATCATTGGTGCTTCCATACACCAATGGATCTAATTAAGCAATTACTGCTGTGCCTCTGCCTTGGTCCTAAGTGCGGAAGTGCTTTGTGTGCACACATCCCTGAACACCACTTTTCTTGCCTCCACCACAATTAGGCGGTTCCTTTGGGAGCTGCCCATCTAACATGATTGACTGCACTACACCGAGGCAAGCTGAGTCTCCTACAGTACTTAGTTCTCCTGACCACCGTGTTCCACTGTCATTCTGAATACTCACTTGGATTCTTGAGTTTGGAATCACAGCACATGTGAATTAGACTCTTTTGGCCATAAAATTTGTGGGTTGAAGCTCTGAAGTTCTGAAGCTTTCTTCCTGTGGAGGAAGGCACACAGTTGTACAGGGAAAATAAAAGCTAAGGTCATAGAGAGACAGAGATAGAGACAGGACACTTTTTCCTGCCCATAGCCTCTTTTTTAGCCACCTGCTCCAGAAAGAAAGTCAGTGACAAGTCTGAAATACATGCTTACAGGGTGACTCAAAATTTTTTTATTTTATTTTATTTTTCTAACTCAATCTGGATTAGGGTTGTAGGCTGGGAAAATAAAAATATAAGATATCTAATTATTTTGTAATGTCATGGGAAAAAACAACTAATAATTGTTTAGTATGAGCAGGATCCATGTAACATTTACAATTTTCCTTTACTATAGATTCTTTCCTACTTACCACCCCAACAACTGACTATAGCAAGGTCACATCAAAATTTAAACTTAAATTACATTCTGGATTTTATCTGGCACCCCTAGTTCAGATATATTGCCTCTTCGTTTTCCCTTGACTTTTCAGACTCTCTGCTGCGTTAGGAGCTATGTATGGGATATTCTATTTGCCAGACTTGTCTTTCCATCATATACCTACCTGCTGAACCTTTATTCCCTCAAATATTTGGGCAAATGTGCTTCTCCCAGGGGGGCATCTTGTCCTCTTATATTGCACGCTGATTACCCTGCCTCCTCCCCATCACCTCTACCCTGTTCTGTTTCCTTTTCTCAATGCACATCTTACCTTAGTATATTGTACATTTTCATTATTTATTATTTCTACTTTTATTATTTGTCTTCTCTGCCAGAAAGTTAGCTCCAAAAAGGTTCCAAACTTCCAGAGTGTTGAATGAATGACAGAAAATTTGCCCTTATTCTGAAACTCATTTATATTATTTAAATTATTTGAGCATGTAACTTTCCTTTTGCCTGTATGGATTGAGTTACTCAGCTTTGTGTTACTGTAACAACACACCTGAGGTAATCAACTTAAAAAGAGAGTTTATTTGGACTCACAATTTGGGAGGTTTCAGTCCATGTTCCATTGGCCCTATTGCTTTTGGGCCTGGGGTAAGGCATATCATCATGGCAGGAAGCTGTGATATAGCAAGCAACTCAGTCAGGGAAATGAAAGAGAGAGAGCAGGAGACCAGAACTCTTCAAGGGCACACCCTCAATAACCTAAGAATGCTCACTAGGCCCCACCTCTTACAGGTTAGATTCCCTCCTGGTAGCAGTATAGACTAGAGATAACCCTTTAACACAAAGGTCTTTGGGGGACAAACATTCAAACTATAGCACTGATTCACATTCCAGACAAGAGTCCTGGCCTCTGTGAAGCACTTCTAGAAGCTGGAAAGAGTGAGTACAATTTCCCTTAGGCCATTCATTCACCTAAGCATGTATTGATTGGGTATCTCAGTGTTCTAGACACTATGGTAGGCACTGGGAATATATAGAAGAACAATTTCCAGACCTTGCTCTCGAAGCTCTTACGATGGGACTGGATAGATTACTCATACTCCACAGGTTTCAGTTTCCTCCTGTAAAAACTGGAGACAGGAATGGTGCTCACTTCACAATTTTGTTGTGTAGATAAAATGAGATGATCGAGAAGTAGGGCTTAGTCTGTATTCAATAATTAACTATACTTTGACTAATACAGTACGGACAGAGCTGTCACACTGTCAAATCGTGTATTTTACAATGTGAATAGCATTTTCTGAAGTTGTGAGGAGAAAGCTTTGCATGGTCATATGTGGCAGTGTCTGGAGTCTGAAAGAGACTTATCAACAGATAACCCAGGATATGCTGGGACAATATCAAAATATACACAAAGTGCAAAGATGGCACAAAGAAGGAAGCAACTGACTTCTGGGAATGCATAAGGACAAAAGGCTTTCCAGGCAAAGAAGAGCAGGTGTCGAGTCAGGAGAAAGATGAAGAGCTTGATAATAATAGGGTAATAATAGGTGGTAGGTGGAGATAACAGCAAGGCATAGTTAGAGGGGTCGACTTCTAGTTGTACCGTAAGAGTTTGGTACCTTCTGTTGTACCATAAGAGTTTGGTACCTTGTCTTTGGGACTTTGGCAATGAAAAGAGTCATCATCAATCTCATGCTTCCAAATAGGTCAGTTTGGAGAAGGGCATAGAGAGCAGAGATTGAAGGCAGGAAGTTGAGCAGTGAGGAAGTGATTGAAGTAGACACAGAAGGTGGGCCTGGTCTGGTTTTCTAAGTTGACAACTCCTTGGTGCTACCAGATTGTTCTCTCCTCTGAGCTTCAGGTTTTTCATAGGCTTTTGAAGTGACTTCCCTCAGCCTCAGCCTTTCTCCTTTGATAAAAATGGAAGGAGCCAACCATTCTGGGACACTTTCCTGGCTGCAAAGAAACAGCCATTTTTAGTTCAGTGCCTGATGAGTAGGGCTGTGAGGGGATTGAGGGCTACCCCTTGGCACCCACAGAAACCAGCCTGTCTTTACACTGAGAGTAATAAACTCCTCACCCTTCCCCACTCCCCATTCTTCTGGTTAACCAAGTTCACTTTTGGGTTTTGATTCCAGTGCCTAAATCAAACTCTATGCATATAACTTTCTTCTTCTCTCCATTTTGGGCTTATGCACAGACATTATAAATAGAAGTTTTTATTCAGGGCAAGAGTTGATCTGACAGAGATCAGCCACTATCTAATCATTTCAAAGACGAGATTGAGGGTAAGGGTGAAGAATGTTTGCTCTTTTTTTTTGCTTTTCCCAGAATAAAGGTAAATACAAGACCATAGCCTTGCTTTTCTTGTGAACAAAGGTTTAAGTTTCTGTGTGTTTTGTTTGTGCTTCTCTTGCAATGGCTAGAAAATGAGAGTTTATAATGTTAATACGGAAAGATTACAATGGAAAAAAATGTAACTGAGGAGTAAGAGCATGTCTACAGTGTATGCAAAAGCTAGAAAACTAATTGTTTTGTTAATCCTTGCTTTCTGAGAAACTACATTTCAAGTTCCTTATGATACACAGCAAAACAGAAAAGACAACAAAACAACAATAAAAATACTCCTCAACAGATTGGTATTCTAAGTTCTGGCTTAACAACTACTGTTGTTTGTTTTGTTTTGTTTTGTTTTGTGCTGTTTATCTACTTTTTAATTGACTAGTTCTTCAGGTTTATAGCAGTCTTAGGAGGTAACTTGAGACTTAAGCATTTAACTTATGCATATAATAGATGGACACATTTAAACACTTGTTTCCTCATCCAAACAATATTCTGCAGAAGAAGTCAGAGCCTGAGCACAAATGTGATTTTGTGGAATCCCTCAGAAGTTGGAGATGTATTTCAGTGGATGGGAAATCATATGGAATGATGTATCAAGAGAGAGTCCCAGGAGATTGAAATCTAGAAGTGTCATCTGCTGGACCCTAATTTTTAGGAAATTGGAAAAAAATGGGAAATTGAGAGTGGATATAAAAATTCTCAGAAAAGGAAAGAATGAACATTCATTTAAGAAATATTTCAGGTACCAGGTATTATTCTGGCCACTGCAGAAACTGAGATAAGTGAAAAAGTGCCTGACTCTAAAGTGCTGGAACTCCAGTAAGCATTTAGAATAGACACAAAATAGGATTCAGAAGAAAGCAAACTAATGTTTCTTGAATACGTACTTCAGACCATGTGCCTCCTTTCAGTGATTTTGGTTTTCAGTTCTCACTGAACTGTCTTTACAGATGAAGAATTTATTAGAGCAAAATAGGGTTCATTCACGTGGAAATGTTATAGCATGTTATTCACATGGAAATGTTATCACCTTGTTTCTAGAAAGTGAAATTTATAAGAATACAGATAAAAGGTTGAATTTTCTAGGGCACTGCTTTCCAAACTCTTTCAGATATAGAACAGAAAGGTAATGATATTGTTTGTACAGCACCAGGAGGTGAGTGGAAGAGGGTAATCTCAGGATGAGAGAACAGACCCCTGAGGAACACCCTCTGCCTCTACTCAGGGCCCAGGGATCAGAAGCTCACGACCTAGACTCCTGTATCCTGCCTGAAGGTGTGATGCTATGGTCTCTGCTTAAAGAAACAGATGGCCAATTAAAGAGACAAGAGAGATCATCCTCTCCTGCCTTAGTTCTCTCAGCTGGCCCTGCACCCCTCAATCCCTCAGTAAAAGACAAGAGTCTCAACATATTGGTATAATGTAGGAATCAGAGGTGAAGATGAGATGAATATGACTCATACACAACAGGAATGAATTCACTGACTAAATAAATAAAATAAGTCTAAGAATAGGAATGTGCAATGACCAGAAAGATTATTTATCAGGAATGTGTTTCAAAGGAAAATTATATGATTATTTCCAAATTCTAATTTAAAAAGGAAGAATGAAATGAAAGTATTTTTCCTTAGATTCCTGTCTATGCTCCTTTCTTATGCATATTTAAAAAATAAAGGCAAAAATCTAAATGAATTTTAATATGCATTATTCAGCAGCAAAATCAGCACAGAGAGAACAAAGAAATGTTTTCCACTGTGCTGAGTCCTTACCAGCAAGGTGTCGATGTTATTTTTAATTATAACTTTTAGCATGCTTCCTCCTTACTGATTGAGCAGCATGAATTTAACATGATAAGTCTTGTCTCCTAGAACTGCCTTATTGCTTCTTTCATTCCAAACTGAAATTTCACCAAAATCTGTGTATTTTGGCCATTGAGACTGTGACATTATGTATCTGTGCACACTGACTCAGATACTTTGGTTAAAAAGTAGCATCGATTTTTATTAGAACTTTCTACCAAAAAGTTTTCCATATCATGAGTATGGCCTGTGGATATACTCATGTGAATATGCTGGTAAATGTTGCCCATGTTATGGTGAAAAAACCTGGTAACTCAGTTGGATCCTGACCCTGACCCTTGAGTTATGTACTACTTTTAGCCTCAGTTACCTTCCTTATGTGTAAAATGGAAATCTACTTTAGAAAACAGAGAGTGTGGCGAATTAGCACTCTGTAGACATTTAATTAATGTTACTTATTTCCAACAGATAGTTTCAAATATTCAGGCTCTGAGAAACAGATGAAATTAGAGAGTACGCTCAGGTGCTTAAGTTGACAACCAGGTGCTTCAGGCTAATGACAGTATAAACCCTTCTCTCAGCAGTTTGACTTGGGCCCCATTGACTCATTATTTCAGGCAGCCAATTCAGTCCCTAATTTGTCTTGTTACCATTTTGTAGTTTGGGTCCTAATGGAAGGTTTTCTAGCACGTGGTCACAGTATACTTTGCAATTTGGTAGAAATTATGAAATGTATTCTTCCTAAACTTTTATAATTTCCTCTATCAAAGATTTGATCTATAGATGTTCAATCTCCTGACTATTAGAGAATCAATAAATCGGGTATCTAGGGAAAGGGCTTATACACATTGGAATTTTATTCAATTCAATTGTAAATAGCTCAGTTAAAACAAGTAAGCAAAAAAAAATATTATTATTTTTTTGTATAGTTGGTTGACCAACAAACCCAGACTTGCTTAATTCAGAAACATTTTTGGTAGTTGAATAAAATATAACTGGTAGTAAAGATAGACAGAACATTTTAGCAATAATTTTACCTAATTTAACAAAATTCCTGTTTAGAGAGCTATTGAGAACCTGGGAGATTTGAGGGTTTTGTCATTGTCTCTTTTCAAATTTCAAAACCTGGCTTTCTCTGACTTAAACAAGTTATCTCTTGTTTAAGTCAGGATCAGCTAGGTTGTGCTGTGATAATAAACCATCCCATCATCGAAGCATAACAAAATGAAGGTTTATTTATCATTCATGTTTTGTGTCCCACTTTGGTGGGCGAAAGCTCTTCTCTATCATTCAGGAAGCCAGGCAAAATGAGACTTGCTCAATTTGTAGCTCTAGAAAGTTAATTATAAGGCCTTCTCAATCACAATGATAGGGAAAAGGAGAAAAATAAGAAAATTGGGATGGACTTTTTATGCCTCAGACTGGAAATACTAAGTCACATCTGTTTACATTTTATTGGGAAAAATTCATCCAAAGATTCAGTATAATTGCAAAGCAACTGAGAAATATAGAGAAACAAATTGAATACTTGGTGAACATTACTGTACATTCTATTTCTTTTTCATTGGCAATTTCTAAGTTAGTTTAGTAAGATTCAGCATTTCTTTCTTTTTTTCTTAATTAAATTATTTATTCTAACTTGTTATACATGATGGCATAATGCAATTCATTTCATATTACACATATAGAGCACAATTTTTCAAGTCACTAATTGTACACAAAGTATTTTCACACAATTCGTGTCTTCATACATGTACTAAGGGTAATGATGTCCATCTCATTCCACTGTCATTTCCACCCCCATGCCCCCTCCCTTCCCTTCCTTCTCCTTTACCCTATCTAAAGTTTCTCCATTTCTCCCATGTTTCCCTCACCTCCATTATGAGTCAGCATCCTCATATCAAAGAAAACATTTAGCCTTTGGTTTTTTGGAATTGGCTTAATTCACTTAGCATTATATTCTCCAACTCCATCCATTTACCTAC